CTGGGGGCGGGGCCACAGCCATTTGAGGGGAAAAAATAGAGTTTCCCCCTCAAATGGCTGTGGCCCCGCCCCAGCGTGTGACGTCACATCCGTAGATACGTCGTGCGTGCGCACCGGGAGGTCCCCAGGAGTCCCCCGCCGAGGAGGTGAGTACCATTTGGCAACCCTACTTACTGCTGGTGTGTTGCAAGACAGCTTCAAATAGGGTTACCAGCTCCAGAATGGGAAATTCCTGGATATTTGGGGGTGGAGCTTGGGGAGGGCAGAGTTTGCGGAGGGGAGGGAGGTCAGCAGGGATGTGATGCGATAAAGTCCACCCTCCAAAGTGGCCATTTTCTCTGGGGGAACTGATCTCTGTGGCCTGGAAATCAGTTTTAACTCATGAACACCTCCAGGCCACACCTGGAGGTTGGCAATCTGAGCTTTCTCGCTTCCTCTTTCTGCCCAGATCCAGACCTGTACAAACCGTTCCTTTCAGCCCTCAGCCTCACAGGTTGGTATAACTTCCTTCCAAAATAGGCCTAGCATGACAGGCCATTACTGTCCATTAAGGAAACACTTACTGTTCATTAGCGACTGGCAAGTTCTACAAGAACCTAGCAGGGGAAAGGGGGCTTTCTTTTTGCTTGGCACAAGAGAACAGCATGCTCCTTAGCAGTGCAGCAATCTACCCATTCCTCCCAGCCTCCTGAAAAACTCCTTTGCCACCTAGATGTTGATTGCAAGACTGCCAATTGTGATTGAGCAGCTCCAGCCAAAATGCAGTCAGCCTCCATTCGGCAAAGATGAAATACAGCCAGCAAAAAGACCAGAGCATTTCATCTGTGCTGCCGCCGCTGACTTGTGTTGTTTCACTGCCGCACAGAAGATGCTTCCAGGGGTTTAAGGCAGAATGAGTAAGCAGCCAGATATGAAATAAAGTGGAAAATATTATTGAAGCCTGAATCCACTTTAAACTTCTTGCGTGCTTGATTATCAGATGAACTGCAAGCACTTGACTTTAGGTTTGCCTTGAGCGTGTGCACCGAGGTGGAAGGAATGGAAATAAAAGAAAAAGATGACCGGGGGGGGGCAAAAAAAGGAAAGAACGAAAATGGCCATACTGTTCACCAATTTACCTTATTGTGTCCCAAACAATGACATTTGGCCAGAACTATTTCTTTCAAAAGGCTGTTTTAAAGTGTGATCTTGTGTTGCTGATTCCAGATAACAATTGGTGCCGTTTGGACGGATCAGTCTTGGGTTACAGGATTTGCAGGTTGTGAGCAAACCACACACGAAATTCCCTGCCTCCCCACACCCCAGACTGGGCACCTTAATAGTAAAGGGACCTATTTAGCATAGTGGCTAGAGCTGAGATACAGTTAAAGTCTTCTGTCACAAACATACTAGGTGATCTTAGGCAGGTCAGTTTGCCTCAGTCCCTCTCTCTCTCCACCTACCACATGCCAATAATAAAACTGGTCTACTCTACAGGGCTATTGTAAGGATTACAACATGTGGAGCACACTAAGCTATATTGAAAATAAAATGTGGCATCATCATCATTATCATTATTATTATCTGGAAAAAATTCCAATATCTGAATAGAGACCAGGTTACTGTAAGGCCCTTGAAGATTATTCAGAAGGCAAGAAAGGCCTTGCTACAGCAAACCAGCCCAGTATCTTGCTTTACACAGTGGCCAGCCAGTTGCTCTGGAGGGCCAATATAAAGGGCACAGAGAGATGGCAAGGCCTTCCTCACATGTTGCCTCTTAAATTCGGAGTCCAGAGATTTACTGCTGCTGTACACAGAGGTTCCTCTCAGTCATCATGGCTCCTGATTCTGTCGCACCCAACAGCAAGCTACAATATTGTGCAGTCATTTATACAGTGACCAGGCTTCCACTGCTGATTTGATGATGAGAGTACGCATATACCAAAATGCAGAACAAGGAAAGAACCAGGGACGGATTGGTCATTGAGGCCACTGGGAAGAGTTCCAGTAGGCTAGGGCTGCCAAGTGGGGGCGGGTGGCGGGTAAACCCCTGCTTTGGAGGCCTGATTTCCGCTGGCACTGAATCGGGCCCTGGGGGGGAACTCCACCCCCTGAAGCGCAGCATCACAGGAAGTGACATGCACATCGACCACGTTGGGGGTGTGGCCCGGATCGAGGAGGGAAAACTCTATGGTTTTCCGTCCCACGATCGTGGCCATGCCCTCAACGTGGTCGACGTTGCACGTCACTTCCTGTGATGTGCTAGCGGCGTGTGCACGCTTTGCGTGCGCACGCACACATCAGGGGACGGCTCCCGGAGCCGGCAAAGCCTCCCCTGCCGGTGAGTATTTTGGACTTGGGAACCCTACAGTAGGCTGATGGCCTGGACACAAACTTACTAGGTGATCATAGGCAGAACATTTTGGGTGGTAGGGCATTGGGAAATTGGGGCAGGGGGGATACACAGAGAGAGAGAGATGCTGTTGTTAGGCAGGTGAAGAAGGGAAGGGTCTTTCCTTACCTGCCGGCACAACTCCCACAGCGGGAGTTGTGGGGCATGGGCTATGAGTGAGGCGGCACTGCCCCTAAATGCCCCACTGTGGCTACTGGCCTGCTGGACACTGCTCCCCACTGGGGCCACTCCAACCGCAGGAACACCCCCTGCCAGGGTCACCCCAGCCCAAAGAGAGAGGCAGGTATGAGCTGGAGGCATGGGAAGAGAGGGCTCGCCATGGTAAGGGGTGCATGCTCCCAGCTCACTCTCACCTACTGCAGCCTCACCACTGCAAGGGACACCTGCCTAGTCTGACCTCACCATGGTGAGGGATGGAACGGGCCTACCCAGACTGGCCTCCATCAGCTGCCCATCTTGATGGGGCACCTCCTGCTCAGGGAAGCCAAGCAGGTTCTCCCTCCTTTGGGAGGACAGGTCTGGGCTGCGGCAAACACAGGATAGGGTTGGGGGCCTTTTTGAGATCTGCTCCCTCCACCATCCACCCCTGAAAACAAACTTGTCCTGTGGGGGCTTTAATATTAGAAATTGTTTTATCTGGAGGTTAGGCAAGGACAAAAGCAGTAGAGACAGGGTTGCCAGGTCCCTCCTGACAACCAGCAGGGGATGGTAGGGACTTACCAGGAGCAGGAGAGAGGCCTGGGTGATGCCCCTGGCAAAGTGGCTACATCACTTCTGAGGTGCACCAGAAGTGATGTCATCACACTGTGATATCATGGAGACACTCAGATATTTGGGCAAAAACTCTATGGTAAAAGTGGCTTATACCATAGAGCTTTTGCCCAAATACCAGAGCATTGCCCAGATTTCACCAGCATGGCATCACTTCCTATATGTGCTGGAAGTGACATCGTCACATCACTGGCCAAGTTGCTTGGGCCTTCCTCTTTCTCCTGGTGAGTTCTCCCACGGGCCAGCTGAACAGTGGTGGTGGACAGGGCCCGGTGGCAGGGGGTCCCCACCTCCACTGGGGGAAGTCTAGCAACCCTTAGTATAGATTAGTGTCCTGAAGAAGCAGCTGTCTGCTTCAGAATGTTTACTCAGAATGTTTACCCATGATATTCAATGGAGCTTATGCCCATTGCCGCCTTAATGTAGTTTGAAAGTGCACTTGGTTTCCAGAGCTCAGAAAATGGAGGAAGTGAAATAGCCATGTTCTGGTTCAGTACATCAGCATTGATGTATTATAAGGTAGAAGGGCAAGTGCTTCATTCTTTGGGACTCTAAAACATCTAGTAGGAACATACCACAATAATGGATCTGATTAATCAGACTGAACTGTGGCATTCTGTTTCCAACAAAAAAACCCAGACAGATTCTTCTAGGCCTTTCACAAGCAGGATATCAGAATTCCCATTATGGTTGCCAGGTCACCCCTAGCCACCAGTGAGGGATGGGGGAGTAGGGTTCCCAGATCAAGGTTGGGAAACTCATAAAGATATGGGGATGGAGCCTGGGGAGGACGAGGACCTCAGTGGGGAACAATGCCACAGAGCCCACCCTCCAAAGCATCCATTTTCTCCGGGGGAACTGATCTGTCTAGTCCGGAGATGAACTGTAATTCTGGGGAACCACCAGGTCCCACCAAGAGGCCGGCAACCCTAACCCCCATGTTGGTTGATGCAGGTGAGCAGCCGTGTTGGTCTAAAGCAGAAGAAATTTTTTTTGAGAACAAATTCACACCATGAATGAACTTTTGTTGATCTTAAAGGTGCCACTGGACTCAAAAAATGATGACCTTATCATCTTAGCTTGTTATTCCTGTTTGCATCTATTAAAAACATTTCATTGTATTGTATGCGAATTTGCTGTTCAACCTCTGCCTTATATGTGTGGACTGGTAAGTTCCATTTCACTGTGTCTGAGGGACTCTGTGTGCACATGGAAGCTCATACCTTGAATAAACTTTTGTTGGTCTTTAATGGAGCCCTGATGTGCGCACATGTGGCAGCCTGCCCATCCCTGCCACACCCCCTTCCTCCACCATGCATGTGCTCACTCCCCTCGCTGTCGGGCACCTCCTTTTTCCTCCCCCCACCCCTCCTCCATCCAGAGCTCCCCATGAAAATCATTCAGCTACAGGTATCAGAGGTAGGTGTAGCACAGCTCAGTGATGCCACACTGTACCCACTTCTCATGTGTTTCCTTAATGGGCCTCAAACCTGCCACAACAAGTGGGCCCCAGGCTCCAAAAGACTTATGCTATCAACCAGTGTGGTTCTAGTCCAGATCCAGGTTGCTGCAAAAGCTGGTCCCATCTCCTGTGGCTTTCCATCACTAACTTACCAGGACTAACTTCCCTGGGCAATGGATTAAAAACTTCCATCTCACCTGAATGCCCCCTTTTCTACTACTTCTAATTATTTTAGTGCTTTCCCCTTTCATCCTTTTTGTCTTTAAAAAAAAAATAGATTATGAATGGTAGACAAGGATTTCTCTCTCTCTTGTGCTTTATAGTACCTATTAGAACACAAGGAATAATAGAAGGAATATTATTAAAATCCATTACCTGCATCTAAAGCAGTATCTGTGTTTCTCTGACTCCGTCCAGACTGGCTTGTGGTAATGTTCGGTGTTGTCTTTTTTACAGGTCCTGGCTTTTTTACAACAGGAGGAGCTGACTTCAGACGTTTGGTGATATTATATACGGCATCAGCAAGGGACTTGTCTACGTAGCTGGTTAGATTAGATAGGATTATTCCTGTTTTTATCTCCAGCACAGATTCAGTGAACTCTTGCAAGCCTTTCTGGAACAGCACAATATCTGGGTGAGCAACTTGCATTAACCTGGGAATGCTGGCAGTGACCTCTTGAATTTTCCCAGAGACATCTTGACACAAGCTGCGGGCTTCATAAGCAGTCTTGTTTAAGAGCGGGATGGTCACAGACACACGGATGGATTTGGCTTCCAGTGCTCTTATTCTGGAATTCAGGGCCTGAAACTGACCCAAGACCTCTTTGTCCTTTTCTGCTATAGCAGCTTTGACATTTCGTACAGAGACACAGCTGTTTGCTAAAAACTTGGCTATTTTTGTTTCCACGGTCTGCAAGCGAACTTCATAATCTTCGTGCTCCTGTGCTGGCTGCAAGCGCGTCTCATCCTGGTGACCAGTGTCCCGGTGATGTTCTTGTGTATTTGACAATGTTGTTGTGTTCCAGACTTGATGAACTTGGCCAAGGTCAGGGATCCTTACTCTGCTCTGTTCACCCGATGAAGGATTTGAAAAAGGCCTGGTCCTGGTAACAAAGCCATGTTTCTGATTCTCATTGACTAGTATCTGAAGGGATTCGTTCATCTGTTGAAACTGAGGTATCCATGTCAATATGCTTTCCATGTTCTCTGCTCCACGACAGCAGTTTTCTGTTTCATTTCTCAAGGTATCCAGTGTTTCCTTCATTACATAGTTATCCTGAATTGAATCAATGGCGCTGTTGATCACCATCATGGTCTTGTTTAAGCCATCTTCCATTAAAACAAAACATTCAGTAATTCGTCTCTCAGATTCTTCCTCATGAGCTTGAGCTTCATTTTTAAGCTCCTTTTGGCTTTTGGCGAGTTCTTTGATGGTAGAGCTCAAAGCCGTCATAACACTGGTTATATTTTCCAGCTTCCTGTTCGTAGCTTCCCTTTCGATCTGCTGCTCATCATCTGACGTAAGGCTAAAAGGCACTCCTTGCTCAATCAAAGGCTGGAGGATCTCCATATCATAACAGAGGTCATTAATCTGCTCCTTCATTTTGTCCATCTTATCATCTAAAGGAAACATGAGGTTCACCATTGTTCTGTTTAAAGTAAGCATGTTGTCTTCTGCTCCCTTCAGTTGTTTTTGGAGTTCCTTCCGGCACTCAAACAATACATCATCTAATGCTCCTGGTAAGGAGTCTTTCTGGATCTCCAGTGCTAGAGTGAGGTTGTTGATCTTGCTGTCTTGGACTCTGAGGTCATCATACAGCTGCAGAACCATCAGACTCTGTGTTTTCACTTTCTCATGCAGACCAATCATGTAATCTGTAATGTTATCGCTCACCGATTTACTTTCTGTTGCTGTAGGGATGTTTTGATCTGAGATCCTTTCAGCTGATAACAGCTGCTCATGAACCTCTTTCATCTGGCTCAGAGTCTTGTTCAGGGATTCATAGTAAATGTCACTCTTTGAACTTTGATGCTCCAAGGCAATTCCCATAGCCTTCTGCTTTTCCTGCAAATCTTTGATTGGCTGATCACATGTAATGCTTATCTCCTCCTCAATGTGCAGGATCTGGGTCTTTATCTCTAGGATTTCTGTCTTTACAGGTCTGTTTTCTATTTCCAAAGCAAGTTTATGTTGAGATGCATTCAAACTTTTGACCATTTCTTTGGTACTCTCGAGATTTTCAGATAGATCAGATATCATCTTGAAAATCTGGACTAGGGTCTCTTGCATGTCATTTTGGGAGACTTTGATCTGCTCTTTTACAATCTCTTTCACTAGCTCAGTAATGCTTTTGGACTTGAGACCTGTGGGCAGAAAGACACACACATCTCATCAAAATACAGCAAGGCTTAAAAGAAAATCCAGTTGTGACAGACTGCATTTTTAAAAGCTTATATGTGCTGTGTAAACAGATAAAGGACTGCAAATGGTTAATTCTTCACAGAGCAGGAGAGCCTTGAGTGACAGGCTGTTCCAAGATCTGATTGGTTAGCATTACCTGACCAGCAAAAGACTTCTGAACTGGATGCTGGAGAAGGATTCAGTTTGATTTCAGCCCTAGCTGAGAAGAGCTGAGTACTAGCAGTTTTGGATTTCAGTCATGACTGAGAGCAGTTTAACACAGACAGGAGAACTGGAGGAAAGTTGGTAAGGATGAGTGGGTAGTTAGATGGAGACTCCCATTCGAGCCAAGGAAAGGGGATAGATAGTGAGAGGAGAATTTCTCTACCCATTCAAACAGGGAGTTAGCTTTGAAGAGTGCAGCGATCTCTGGTCTGGTGTGGTTAGAACCTACATGTAGAAACCTTAAGAGTCAGTTAAAAACTCAAGATGAGTACTGGTGTTTCGAGAGAAGGGGTTTGGGTACTGGAAAATACTGGAAAGAGTGTACCAGCCTTCAGGAAACCAAAAGACTTAGAGAATACTCTAAGAAAGTGTACTGGAGTGTTTGGGGAAAACACTGAAACAAAAGCCTTTCAACATAAAGATTTAAGTCACTGTGAAAAGCTCAAGAAACTCTCATTGGCCTGAAACATAAGAACTAAAGTCCGTGCATGTACTGATTTTACCTCAGAAATTTGAATTCCTTATTTCACCTGACCTTTCTTCTCTATGTTAAATAAAACATTTTGTTATTTTTTAATTTCAAAATGCCTTGAGTGCCATTTAAAGCGGGCTCATGATCCTTCCCTCAGGTTCCTACTGTGATTTTGGGGACAGCAAGAGTTCTTCAGCAAAGAAAAAAAACACATTACTAGGGCAGCTCAGTCAGTAAAGGGAAAGAAAAACGGAGAGAATATCTTGCCTCTGAGGGAGGGAAGTGGATGGGGCCATCATACCAGTATCTAAGCAAACCTATTCTTTTTGCCTTTCCTTTTAGAGCTCATACTTCTGGCTCTGTTTGGTGGCAGAAGGGGAATAGATTTTGTAATCATGTCCTCTCCATCTCTTTCACTATGGATGATTTCCTTTGCTGACTCTCAGCAGTTTCTGAGTTTCAATAGTGCTTTTGCTATTTGCTCTTATTCTTTTAATCAGTTTTGTTGTCCTGTGGGAGGAGCCATAATGTGCTACTCGCTGCAATTATAGACAACCATCACTAAGTGGAATATGTAACCAAGGTTTCTAGCATCTGAGACCAAATGTTTAAAAGACCTTTCCACTCTATCAGACACACAATAGCTTACTGGGGAAAAGCCTGGATTGTCATGAGACAGGAGAAATACTGAAAACATTTTAATTCTCAGTCATTAAAAAAAACAATATGGGATTTGTTATCTGGCAGCTTAAGAAAGCACATATTTTATCAGAGTTAGCCTGGTTCGCATGTTCATGGTGGAAGCAAATGAGTTTGTTTTTTTGTTAAAGGGGGAAAATAACAGGTCCATGTGGGCTTTTCTCAGTCATTAAAAAAAACAATATGGGATTTGTTATCTGGCAGCTTAAGAAAGCACATATTTTATCAGAGTTAGCTTGGTTCGCATGTTCATGGTGGAAGCAAATGAGTGTTTAGTGTTTTTTTAAAAAGGGGGGAAAATAACAGGTCCATGTGGGCTTAAAGATTAATGATCTTTTTATTGTGGCCTAAACGTCTATAGGCTTGAATCCACCTTGTGAGATGACCCAGATGAAGGGCATTCCAGGCTACCCAAGGTCGACTCATGACATCATAAATTTATTAGTCATCAAGGACTTGCTGCTTTTGCTACAACATGTTTCCACAATACTTCTAGAGTCTGCCTAAGAACAGCACACCTTATTGATGGGCTGACAGACTGAAGGGTTGCGAGGAAAGGGATAACATAAAATCATATATAATGTACTTTCTGGCTTTTCACAATGAAAGGACTATGAAGCGGCAGTGATGCGAACAATGTTACCCCTTTATCAGTCAACCACATCCATTTTGAAGTACTGCAAAATCATGATGGCAATTTGGAAGGTGGAAATTGTGATGACCCAAATTCTCAAAGCAGAGCCTTCTCAGAATCTCTCTCTATTAGATTTGAACCCTAAACAGAATTAGGTTTGCACGGTTCGGGACTTTTTTAATGGTGCGCAGTCACATCCACACCCACAAAAGCACTGGCCCCATTACTTGACCAGGTTTTGACTGAAAGTTCAGCCAGAAAATGGTAGCATAACTGTGGCTGTCTTGTACACTTTGAATGGAAATCATAACCATATGGTGCCAGACAGCTAAATCCTAACTAGCAGTGGTTTGCTTATTGTTCAGACTTTTGTTTGTTTCAATTTTTAATCTACCCATGTCTGAGAATCCATGGCATAGCAGAAAATTAGGATATGTAATGAACAAGTATAATGTAGACTAATTTTCTTTTCTTATACAAGGCATCTGAACTTAAGCTCTTCAATTACATCTTTAATCTTTATGATTATAGATTAAGGTGGCAATATAAATGAACTGAAGTTTTATAATGTTTTATTGAGCATCAAATACTATAAAATAATGTGTATATTGGTACTTTCTATCCATGCATCAACAGACTACAATAAACTGATCCTGTCAAGATTCAACCCAACCTAATTATTGGTATAACAATGTAATAAAAGCTCAAACTTTCACCTGACCTAAGAGAATGAATGAAAGGAGGAGAAAGAGAAGGTTTTACCAGTTGGGATGTAAGTAAGGATTTGACAGAAACTGCATGTAGCCACATGGTATCTGAACAAAGACTCATCCTGTGGGAGTCAGTTAGAGAATTCCCTCATCCTTTGCCAAATCCTAAATGAGTACTAATTGGCTAAAGAAACTTAAACAGTCCCTAATTGTTTAATAGAGTAAAATCCACCTCAAACAAGTCTTCTCAGCAGATTACATGTCTGAGGGGCTGTACAAGACACAAAGCCTAGGAAAACATGGGTAGAACAACATAATTTTGTACTTGTCTACTTGCCCTGCTGTGTCCCTCTGACAAAGAACGCAATGCTTAATAGGCACTGTTATAACATCATCTACCAAAAGCCCTTTATCTTCAAAACATTAACCCTCAATACTGCTTATATTTTAGCTGACAGGAGCAACAAAGAGTGCAAAGGAAAGCTGGAAACTTTTCACAAAATGTCTGAAATGCAAGTTTTACAACACTCAAAGTGCTTCACTTACATTATCTCAGCAAACTTTACAGCAGCTGTGTAGGTTGCTGACTCACTTCTTGGTTTTCCCCAGAAGAGATTTGCTATTGCCTGATAATAGGTAGGAGGGCTGAAGGTTCAGCAAATTCTGGCTTTTGTCTAAGGCAACTTGTAGAATTTTTTACTGGGTTGAGATTAAAAAGAGGAACTACTTGACAAGGTCCATCCAGATATGATGGTAGGGCTGCCAAGCCCTCTGGGGGGACAGGGGGGTTTCCTGTTCCCCCAGTTCTTATTTCTCACTGTTGCTCTGACCAGCAGATGAAGAAGAATAAACAAAAAAAAGTTCATCAGTTGAATGTTGTGAGTCACTTCAGGGGGAAACCTAGAAGTGAGTCAGTCATCTCTAGGAAGCACCAGAAACTTTATGGTAACCATATGGTAACTCATATCACACGCTAGCAAGGTCATGCTCAAGATCCTACAAGCTAGGCTTCAACAGTACGTGGATAGAGAACTGCCAGAAGTACAAGCTGGGTTTCGAAGAGGTAGAGGAACTAGAGATCAAATTGCCAACATTCGCTGGATTATGGAGAAAGCAAGAGAGTACCAGAAAAACATCTACTTCTGCTTCATTGACTATGCAAAAGCTTCTGACTGTGTGGATCACAACAAACTATGGCAGGTCCTTAAAGAGATGGGAGTACCAGACCACCTCACATGTCTCTTGAGAAACCTGTATAAGGGCCAAGAAGCAACAGTTAGAACCGGATATGGAACAACTGACTGGTTTAGCATAGGAAAAGGAGTACGACAAGGATGTATATTGTCACCTTGCTTATTTAATATATATGCAGAGTACATCATGCAAAATGCTGGCCTGGATGAATCACAAGCCGGAATTAAGATTGCTGGGGAAAATATCAACAACCTCAGATATGCAGACGATACCACTCTAATGGCAGAAAGTGAAGAGGACCTAAAGAGCCTCCTGCTCAGAGTAAAGGGGAGGGACTTCAGTGGGGTATAAATGCCATGGAGTCCATCCCCCAAGGCAACCATTTTCTCCAGGGGAAGTAATCTCTGTAGTCTGGAGATAAATTGTAATTCCAGGTCCCACCTGGAGGTTAGCAACCCAAGGTGGGGGTGAGAGATCTATAGGACATGGAATGTACCAGTGAGAGTAGCTAAACCCTTCTGCCCTCCTGATCTTGCTGGGGTGCATTGTTTGAAGCATTGTCCTCCCAACCCAGCTCCAGTAGTGGGGGACAGTGAGAAGTGTCTGGCTCCCTTCACCCATGTGCTGTTTTCTGGAGGAGGAGGAGAAACAGTAACAGGCGATGTTCTCTCTCTTTAATGTGAATGGGCATACAGGAATAGGTTGTCTGTCTCTATTGTTTCAGAGTTTTCAAATCACGTGAGATGCACAAGTATTGAGATTATGGGAAAGAGGCCATTTCATCACATGCCATGAAGACCATTTACTTTAACCCACCTTTCCTCCAAAGACCTCCAAGGGGTAGACATGGTTTCTTCCCGCTGTATTATCCTCAGAATAACCCTAGGAGGTTCCCTTCAGTATAGAACAGGATATATTAATATAGTGTAGTAATTAATATAATCCATTGTTGGATGTAGGGATTGATTAAAGACATGGATTTCTTAAGATTTAAATAATAGAACACATTTCAACTGAACGTATACTAAG